TAGGGATTCAGAGGCGGCGTTTGGCAGCGAAAGTGCAACCAGGGGAGGCTCGTTTTGGACTAGAATTAGATTGGGAAAAGCCGTGGCGTGACCAGGTGTTCGGGGCCAAGATGAGCGAAACCAATGGCAACAGACGTCCTTTTTTTTTCTAGGGATTCTGAGGCGGCGTTTGGCAGCGAAAGTGCAACCAGGGGAGGCTCGTTTTGGACTAGAATTAGATTGGGAAAAGCCGTGGCGCGACCAGGTGTTCGGGGCCAAGATGAGCGAAACAAATGGCAACAGACGTCCTTTTTCTTTCTAGGGATTCAGAGGCGGCGTTTGGCACCCAAAGTGGAACCAGGGGAGGCTCGTTTTGGACCAGAATTAGATTGGGAAAAGCCGTGGCGTGACCAGGTGTTCGGGGCCAAGATGAGCGAAACAAACGGCAACAGACGTCCTTTTTTTTCTAGGGATGCAGAGGCGGCGTTTGGCACCCAAAGTGGAACCAGTGGAACCAGGCGGCGTTTTTTTGAGATGTCGCAGCCTTTTTTGGACTGGCGCAGCGTCTGGGCCAAAGTTGCAGAACAGCTCCATAACCACTCCTGCTGTCCCTGAAACAATCCTGGAAGTGGGTGGCATGGCCAGCATGGATTTAGAGGACCATCGTCTACAAACAGGTTCACTTCAAATGTCCATCTCCAACACTCATCACTAATCGCATCAATCCTCAAATCTCACACCGGCGTTTTTCCAGCCTGGTTCTGGAATGCCGCCGTCAAGTTTCCATTTTGATCGTAGGTCTTGTCGCCAGCCATCGTGAGAATATTGAAAGCTTTACAGTAATTTATTGCATTCTGAAGTGTACCTGCTTCAACTGTTGAACAACCCGTCCAATTTGATCGGTTTGTTTCATAGCTTTTTGCCGAGTGCAAGCTGCAGTACTCCTGCTCCTTGATGAGTCCCGGGGTCGGCGGCAGGGGCGGCAGCCCTTAAATTATATATAATCTTCACATCATTATCTCCTATGTCTTTGGGGTACACATGTACCAACCCTTCGGCCAAGGGGCTATAAATCAAGTGTCGCCACGCGGCACCGGTGCCGCTCACGGCGCCCGTGGCCAACTCGCAATAGTCGTCGTTGGACTCGGCCGAGACTCGTCGACCGGGAGCACATGTGGCGCCACGGGTGCCAAGCCCCGTAGCGTCCGATTGCTCCGTTCGTAGCGATGCACGGTCGGTGGTACTTTTGGTGCTCTGTTTGTTGGTTATTGTACTTGTTGGATCTTGTAAAAACATATCTTGAGGCAAGTAGACAAAGAGGATGTAGACCGTCGTTCATAAAACAAACCCCATTCCGATTGTACAACCTCTTCCTTCTGGGCGTTTTATGATTTTTATTATATAAATTCACGCACAAAAAAAAGACACATGCACCAACAAACTTGAAATGCCTTCCACCACCCCGGGCCCGGAAGTTCGGCCGGCGCACCCTCGCGCGATTGTTGGCTCTGGCCCGCAGCTCTGGCAAGTAGTCCACCTGGCGGTTCGGTCTGCTCCGCGAGATCGAGCCGATTAAGGGATTGGTCGGACTGTATGGGAATCGATGGCGCTCCGAGCCGGTTCCCCGAGCCGGTTCTCCGAGCCGGTTCCCCAAAACAACAGAATCCAATGTTCAATAAATTAATAAATACAATGTATAGCATGCTGTACAAGCTGGTGTACGTGTACCCTTCTAACAGGAGCATTTCTGAGGTTCGCAGAAGAAACACGGCCAACTTCTCTGCTGCCCATCAGTCCCAAGCATTTTGCCCAGGTCACCTCTGCGCTTGGAAATGAAAGAGGTGTATATAAATATCCGAGGCGAAACAGTTCTACCTCTGAATCTGTTACTTCAAAGCACCTCAGGGTGAACCCTCACTCCCGGTTCACATGCACAGCATGCACAGCATGCATACGTTCTCCACAGGAAACAAACACAGAAGTAATTACATTTGTGTGTATGACTAATCTGTTCTTTTGGTGTGTTTGTTCCACTTGCCTTCCTTTACTTCCCGCGGACAAACATCGCTTTGCACCGCAAGGGGCCTGGGTGGGTTCCCAGTGATCAGCGCCAAAGAGCACCGGCCAAATGGCTTCCAGCACCAGGCCCCGAATCTTTCCCGCCCAGCCTGAGGCGGCACGGGCACGCGGAGACAGGTCGAGATCGGGACAAAGGCCGGGAAGAAAAGGCGATAGATGGCGATAGAGGGGGTCGATGAAGGTGGCAATTGGGGACAAAGGGTCCGGAAGGGGCTGGTAGCGGAAATCGAAGGGGATGACGGAGTTTAATTACTTGGACTGACATTTTGGACCACCATGGAGATTGAAAGCTTTGTATAATCTGGTTGAATGCTGTGGTTATTAGGTGTGGGCGCTGCTCAGTGGTGGTTCTGTTTTTGCTGTTCTCGTTCTTCACATCATTGGTATGAACATCAAACAAAAGGTTACAACTACGGATACAACATAGAACAGTTCACATCTTTGAGCCTTGATTGACTGGTAAGCTGAAAATGACTGGTCTCAAAAGACAAATCAACACACAGCAGTCTATTCCAGGTTCAATGATCTTCCATTCAACACTCCAGCATGTAACACTCCTCAATTTTGCGGCTCATGTTGCCACTCCTTAAGGTTGACCCCCAAAAAACGAAACCCCGAAACAAAAAAGAAGCGATATTCTGGACCACAATTCCGGCGATCGCCCATTCAACTAGCACCTTGTAGAGGGGGGACGGTTTTGACCCATTGCATTTCATCAAAAACGAGTTCAAGTCTATTTGTGAGACTTGGACTGCAACATATTGAATATGAACTTATGAATTGAATCGCTCTTCCAAGAATTCCTCAACAGCATCGCAAACTCGGAATCACAGGCTACGCCGTTGATTCTGATGAAAAGGACTCCAATCCAATTCTTCCAGTGCTCGTCTGCAGCACTCCATCCGGACCCGATGAAGGACTCCAGCTGATGAAGGACTGCATCCCAATGGCTTCCGTATGGCTTCCGTATAGCTTCCGAGTGAGGGACCAGTGCAACTTTTCACCGCCAACTGCTTCTTCATCTGCTGTCGTTCTTCCGATAGCTCCGGTCCGGTCCGGTCCTTTCCGAAATGGGCTTGGCTTGGCTTGGAAAACGGGTGAACCATTTAGTGGTTGAAGTATGGAAGAAGTATCATATGAGGGTCCAACCCCTCCATATGAGGGTCGCGTCTGAGTCATCGCATCTGAGTCGTCGCTTTTCTCCGTGGCACGACGTGGCTGTACCGAGTGGGAAACCGTTCGGCTCCACCTGCCGTGAAACACGCTCCACCTGCCTCGGGTGAGTTCCCCAGACCATCAGGACTCGTTGCTGACGACTCGTGCCATGAGAAACGCATACGACATGAAACGATCCGCGGCGGATAGACGGGAACGCGCTCCCTCCCGCCTTCACCAAGGCTCATGGCTTTCGCATAGAGGTGCCGGGGAGTGCTGTGGATGCGATCCCTGCTCACCTGATTCGGATTGTGAGGATGTTGAAATACGCACGTCTTACTAGATCTGGTGTTACTTATAATAGTATATTTCTTAGATCTCATTTGGTATCTTGATGTCTTGAGAGGTTTACAGCGAGTTCAGAGTTCATGGCACAAACCGACCATTTGAGATGGGGCATCCATGATCAGGTTAATGCTGCTTGGTGTACACAGTGTACACTCTGTCAGGAATTGTCTATCCATGCCCATGATTAATGCCTTTCAATGGAGAAAGAGACAACTGGCTTAGCTATCAGCTATCCTTTGGGAAGAAGGGGTTCATTTTGCGGCTTTTGTCTCACAGGCAAAAGCATGTCATACTATATGCATCTATAATGCCCCAAACCAAATCAATTGGGAGGTCTTACACCCCAAACCAACCCCAAAATCGAAAAGCCATACTGCTATGCCAACCGATCACTCGGCTGCTGGCAGCCATCGATCGCAACCCACCCGAGCCTTCGCACCTTCGCACAGTTCCGAAGTCACCATTGCAGGGAACCGAGGACTGAAGCAAGCAAAGGTTCAACTTCTTTTTAGTTGATGCTTTTCTCACATGAGCTATGGCCACTTGCTGAGAAAAGATGAAACACATCCTAAAGCGCAACAAAAAAGAGAATCGAATCCCCACACCGGCCATCCATGGCCATGTAGCTCTTCCGTAACTGGGGCGTTTCAGCTCCTACAACGAATTTCCACCAGCCGTTTTCTCAAGCTCAAAATCCACAAGATAAACAATAGATAAACATAGATCACCACTTCGGGTCATTGGCCTTTTTCCTCCGCCGATGGCTACCCGGAGCCTCCTTCCCGCTCCATCACTGGGCCCCGGGACGGCCCACTGGGCGCCTTCGGCGACCCATTGTTGGCCTGTGGACCGGTCGGGGACCGAGGGACGTGAGGACCGGACGTGGCCGTGGCTGGACGGGAGACCGAGGACGTGAGAACCTCTCATCTCGCGAACTCGCGTTTTGGTTGGTTTGCGAACTTGTGCCGTGCTGGCTCTTGGGATCCGGGGGGGGGCGACGTCTTGGGAGCATAGACTAAGTGAAAGATGTACCGGTTGATCGATGGTGACCCAAGGCATTTGGTATCAGCTGCTTAGGATAATTTCGGAGGTTTCATATGAAAATGGAGAGTGATTGAAATGTTACATCGATGTTATCAGTCTTGGCCTTTTAGATGCAAGTAGAGCGTCTTGTTTCTGGGAAGGCCAGTTTGAGACAATCCAAAAAGTAATTAACAATTATGGTGTTTGCACCCTGAAAAAATATCTCAACACATCCAACATTGCATCCAGAAAGGCATCCCTGGAAAACATAAGTACCACCCACATCGAAGGTTGGCTAAAGACTTATAGACGCATGCTTTCGCTTATATATATTATGTATATTGCATCTTGGTATTAGGATGTCTGAGAAAAACACAGCAGCATTCAAACCATTCCGGGCAAACACCAGTTACACATACAACAGTATGTGGAACGTGCAACCATTAGGTGTATGGCACCTTGCATGACCATGATGTCTGCAAACACATGGTGTTCCGATTTCATGTTACATTACTCAAAGAGTATCGGATTATATATGGGTGCACGACGTGCTTGCTTGTACACCTATTATGATTCTACAGTATGTATTCCTAGCTCTGTATTCTACAGTATCTAGACATGTTGAGCCCCAACAATGACAGGCCAAGGGACATGAAAGAACCATCTGAACATATCTGAACTACAACCCATTTTTGGCTCAGCTTCCCAGCGGGGGCAGGGCTTTCTCAGGATCTCCTGGCAGATCTCCGCAAAGGCATCCTGCGTTTTGGGCGTAGAGAAGTACATCCAAGAGGCAAGCCATCCACTACAAACTAGTCGGTCATACGTTTAAGCTTATATGTGTATTCTGGCAGGTATAGATTCATCAAAATTCATCGATCAGCAGGTCAGCCCTATTGAAACAACCCTATTTTAGGCATTTTGGACTGGAGCATCTGCACTGAAAAAATATTTGTCTGGATCTGCCCGAGAAAATGATGTGTATAGACATGATGATCTCCCAAACAGTCCATATGTGACTGGCATCTTTGCCAAACCGTTGGGGTGGTTGCAGGGGTCGGCATATAGGCTATAGCCGACTACATGGAGTGTGTGGGTATGCAAGCAGTTCCAAAATGAGGTGCGGTCAGGCCGGGGTGCTAAGGCGGACAGGATGGGTCTAAAATGCATCCGTTTGGATTTCCAGGTACATATTATTACACTCCCTGGAACTAACATGAAAGTGGATGGCATGGCACCATGGAAGACCATTTTCCGAATACCAAACAAAGGGTTTTCCGCTTCCATGCTACTTCCAGGGAGAGTATATTCACGTATAGGTATCTCTCATGTGGGGTGCTGAACAAATCCCAATTCATCGTTGGACATGCCGGAAGCGGACAATCTGTCACAATCTGTCACCCTGAGCCTCTCGGTCCGAGCTCGCTGGGACCGAGAAGAAATGTCCCATCATCCTTAAACGATCTCAAGATATCAAGTCTATAGTCTCTCAAGTCCATGAATCGGATAGATCATCATGCCGAGTTTCCTCTCCATCAAGGCGGATCATGTGAGAAAAAACAGAAAAACCATCCATTCTCACGAAAGAGACCATCTTTTTTTGCAATTCCGGGTGCCAGTTTTCCTGCTCACGGACTTGTTTGATGTTTGTTTTTCCATGTCCATTTTGCACTGGCCAGTGTCGAGCTCGGCCCGCCGCCTTCACCTCTGCCGCGGCTCGGGGGCGATGCTCGGGCGGCACATTGCGCTCGGCCTCAGCTGCCCAATCAAATGGTCAGCCCAGTCCCGGCCAGCTAAAACTATATAGTCATGTGTATATATATATATATCTATATTTATATTATGTATATTCTATCTATATATATATGTATATACCAGCACCTTCCAACAGGTGGTTTCTGGACACCCCCTAACCACTAAGAGGCTATTTATAGAAACCTGTTGGAAGGTCCTGGTATATTATATAATATATGTATCATTAGATAAGATTAGCTATGTGTACTATGTATATCTGTATATATATATTGTACAATATATTATACTACATATATTATATATATATTGATTATACAGTATTATATGTATTATTTGTGTGTACAGTTATATATATATATATTTATGTGTATGTTAATGATAGCAATTCCATGTCTCATTTGGCTCACATGACTAGTCTCCTGTGTCAAACTTCAAAGAACATATTTCGATTGGGCAACCACACCGATTCAGGACTTTTCTGCTGCGGCTGGTTACAAGGTTCAGCAGCAGTCACAGTGCTGTCAAAGCTCGCTTTTGCAGCGTTCGCTTGCTCTGCCGCCCCCAAAAGCTCCATGATATGTCTCATCTTGGAAGACTTTGGACAGCCGCTTCATGTCATTAGGCGTGAGCCGAAGCTGCCAATGCAAAGCCCTTGCAGGCGCCGTCTGGAATGGGGCCCGATTGAAAGGGAATGACTGGGCTTCCAGGCTGCAACAAAATATGAAAATACACAAAAAACATCGGGAGCAAACATACAATATGGCAGAACTACCTTGACCTACCCGAGAGGTCAAGCTACATGACCGGCTCCAGCTTTTGAACCATCCCCCTAATTGCCCATATACTCATCTATCTACAGTATCTACAGCATCTACAGTATCTACATATCCATCCATCCATCCATCCATACTTCCATCGATCTATCTATCTATCTATCCAGCTATCAATCAATCTATCTATTCAATCTGTGGATATGATCAATCATTACAATTTCTGTATGATGAATCATCGTTTCACTGTTCTCGTCCCTGTCCCTCTGCTGGCTCGGGTCCCCAGGCCATCTGAAGCGCCAGCCCAATCAAACCACCCTGACGCGTGGCGTGGCAACAGGCAATGAGAAGCGACCAGGGCGCCGAGCAGCGAGAAGAAGGGCGACTCTTCTCGCACCCACGGTTCGATGCAGGACAGTTCGTTGCGTAGCATGGGTCTTTTGCCTCGCAAACAAGACTCTACCCCCAGCTCCCCAAAAGTTAAACGAGAACCCTTCGCATTCGGGGAAAAGTCAAACATGGGAACATGGGGAATCTACGTGGGACCACTTTACATAGAGAAATGGCATGAAAAGAATGGTTGATCTTTTTCCACCAGTAGGGAAACCAATTCCCTTTGAAAGGTTACAGGACGTTAAAGCTCATCTACTGGTCCTGGGCTAGGCACCCCAAGCACCCACCGGGTTCACCAGAGGTCGGTTCTGAAACCGGAGCCCACACAGCGCCTCGATGTCGTAGTGCCAAAAGGTGCTCGTGACGGGCGCCAGGCCTGTCAGAGATGTGTCCATGGGTTCGGCTGAGGAATAGAGAATCTTCAATGCCATACTCTTATGGTTCTAACCATCGACTGGCTCGGAGTAGAGAGTGCTGAGGAATCAAGTCCAGGGGATGGTTGTTGGTTAGAACATCGACATATGTGTTTTTACCGTCGGGGCGTGCGTTGAGGTCTGTCCTCGCATCGCTATATAGAACATCGACTTTTTGCCCAGTGCTGTAGCCAGCTTTGCAGTTTTACATCAGTCTTCTAAACCTATATCTGGGGTTCGGTTGGTATACCTTGGTTGTTTTTTACTAAAAACAATAAAACAACATGTGGCCTACAGTAACTAGGGCAGTGACTCGTTACTGAGTAGGCCACCCGGGTTCATTACTTCGGTCTGAGCAAATTGGTGGTCTGAGGTCTTGATTCCAATCGCCTGCAGTGTCCAGGTGGTCAACTTGGTCAACAGCGCCCGAAATGACCAATGCACCTCAATGAAATGCAAACAAATCTGGAGCATCCAATGGGTCACCAGGCTAGACTACCCAGCTCACTGGATCTCCATTGGATGATCCTGATCATCCTGGTACTCCACAAAAATAATATCTCAAAACCTGAAGACAGTGGCTATATCGCTGGCTTTTCGCTTCGTCCATCCTGCCGCTCCTGGCCTTTCACTTTCATCCCTCTCCTTTCGATCCCAGTGCCTTCGATGTACCCGGCGGTCACGGGGCCCGCCATCTGAGATCCGTGCCGACGGTTCGGAGTCCAGTCGTTCCGATTGAAACACCGCCCGCCCCTAGGGATCCAGTCGTACCTTCTCAGGTGATTGGAGACGGCGCCAGGAGGGCCCTTTTTGTAACCTTCGTGAGGTTCGGTGGCAGTGGATCCCTAGGGAGCGCGGTTCCGCGACTCTGGGGTGGAGATCCATTTCGTGTCACTTCTCCCGGGGTCGGAGATTCACCGGGAAAAGACTCTCCAAACGACTCCATGGAACCCAAGAATTGACCGGTGGTTTTGACCATTTTCCTCTACAACCCAGTGGGAGGGTTCAGACAGCTCAAAACCCAGTGGTATTGGGGTTCCATGTGGTCATCTGCAGGGGAGTAACAAGATATCACCTTAAGTGAAGCAAAAACAGCATAAGTAGCGCAGGGGCTTCCATTGGTGACCCCATAACGCAAACCCTGGTTGAGGTGACTCTGCAATTGTATGCAATTGTTGACCCGTTGATGTTGTGACTCTGGAGCTCAAAAGGGGCATCCAAAGGGCTAGTCTAAAATGGGCTAAGTAAGTTTGGCAGGACTGTTTCTTTGGAGGGTCCAGGTCGACCCAAAGTCAGCACGGCCACACCAGTGACTGAACCAACCGGTGGGTTTTCACATGTTCCCTTTCAACAGCTAACCCTGGTTAGCTGCGCCCACCTGGGGCGTGAGCACCGCAGTAAGGGCTCTCCGTACCTGGCATCCGGATACCAGAAACGTGGTGCACTGAAGGCCGTCCGATTGGACACAGGAGTTTCGGGTCACACGGATACGCAACATTTCGGAGCCACTTCCAGCACCTTCCAACAGGTGGTTTCGGGACACCCCCTAACCACTAAGAGGCTATTTATAGACACCTCTTGGAAGGTCCTGGTTTAGAGCCAGTTGGGAGGAAGAAACCAGAACCTTGTTGGGCTCTGAGGAGAGGGGTGGAGAACACCCACTTACATCACATCACTGGCGCGGACTTGGAACTCCGGGTTGACCCATTTGTACAGTTCTTTGCTCTATAGAAGGGAGGTCTTGATCGCGATTGTGAGGCATCATGAGGCTCAAACTTGTGGCAATGGCTCCCATTCAGGTGTCACTGCGCGCACGTGGTCTCTGCGGAAGCATTCACCCATGTTCAGTCTAAAAATTATGTGCTTCTGTTACAACACTCCTCCGCTCTTCCCATCTGCTTTTCCGGTGAATGGTTTCTGGATACCCGGTTGGCACCCAGATCAAGTCTTGGGTCTGACGCTCCTGGATGTTTGGTCCACCCAGTACGTGAGTGACCTGCCGCACACACAGCCTCTGCAAAGAAAAACCACAGCCGCTCTCTCAGACTAGTTGGCTGCGAGAATCACATATCCACCCCAAAATTGAGTGGGGTCCCAATATCAATCACATATAGCCCCCCTATTTTCCGGTGATTGATATTGCATGTGTTTGGACTTTCGCGTCCCAACTTGAGGTCCAACTCGCTGGACCCAGGTGAGCTGTGTCGAAAACCTATTGGAAATGGCTTTGTAATCCTAGCATCCTTTCGCGACAGGCTATCGCGGTCCTTTCGCGACCACAGTCTTACCTTTCGCGGGCATACACTATTTGATACTGTTTGCTCAGTCCTTTCGCAGGACCTTTCGCGAGAGAAGTTGGGAACCACACATATAACTTTACTTCGAATGATCCCCACCATGACATTTCAATGTTGTGTGATTGTCTGTTTTGCGTTGAGCTCCGGTAGTGCCCACTGCGATCTGGCACTTGCGGTTGAGGTCCGGTAGCGCGCACTGCGATCAGGCACTTGCAGGAGGGGAAGGAGGAGGAAGGAGGAGAAGAACCTCCTTCTGAGAAGAGCTCTGATATAAATCCAACAACCCTCACCTCGCAGGTGGGGAACAACATGCGTATACCTCTACATATGCATAATAATAAATCTGTATTGCCTCCTTCTAGCAAATTTTCATTTTCACGTGGCAAGTAGAAAATACAAATCGATGGGCTACATCCTGAACATGGAACCGTCACCTTTCTCAAGCCTTTCGCGAACCTTTCGCACGCCTTTCGCGGATTTTCGACCTTCGACTTCGAGAAACCCGTGGTCAAAACACGGTTTCTAGGTTTCTGTTTATTGTATTTTATTGTGAGAATTCCTTGCTTGCTATCTGACTCGCCCACCATGGGCACTGGTGCAATACAGAAAAAAACCGTTCAGTTCGGGGCTAGAAACGTCCTTGTATATATATATATATATAGCTACGCAAAGCTCTCATGGTGACAATGGCGAAGTTGCATCAAAGCAGCGTAAAGAAAACAGCTAGCACTGGAAACAAATCCTACATATCATCCAAAACGTCCTTTCGCATACTCCTTTCGCAACCATTTTTTCATGGTGTCTTTCGCAACAGCTTTCTCGAAGCTTTCGCGACTTAGGTTTTGCCTTTCGCGGGGGTTATGTCAGGACAACTGCATTACAAAAACTCTTTATGGAGGTTTTTGACGTGGCTCAGGTGTTTCGTAGGCCACCGTTGGACCGATCTTTAGGGGTGTGCGTCGCCCAGTGAATATAATGGTTCAGTTGCAGGCCTTTTCATCTCCTCAAAATGAGTGATTTGCTTGTGAAATCCGACTGTTACAGGTAACAGGACACCCCCAAATGATATTGATCATTTGATATGCCAACTCGGGTCATAGCGGGTCTGATCGTGGTAATTCTCAGCATCATACTCTTTGGCACTTTGGCTTATCTCACATCCTTCACAACCTTCACCTTGACGAAGGGGCAGAACGGGGGGCGGTAGGAAGTTGATCACATGTCGTACCCAAGTGACCCAAGTATAAACCATTTACTTAATGTTTGATGATTTGGTGTTAACATGATTAAACGTGTCATGATCCGACATACTATCATCCAAATGGATACAACATGGATACAACTGGTGGTTCTCACATGTCCGGGGTCGTCCGCGGAGGTGTCTCAAAGCGTGCCAGAGAGGCCGCACGGAGAAAGCCCGGGCAATGGCCAAAGGGCCATCCCTGAAGAAATACGGTGGCCTCGCAGTATCGATCTGAGGCAGGTAAACAAACCTGACTCCCGAGATTTAGATCTAGGATGATCTGGGCTCTGGAAAGGACGAGAAGGCGCCTAGATGCTGCAGCTATGCTGATGCAGCTTCAACTCAAAACAAGGAATGCGGAGAGTGACGTCTGAAGAATCGCAAATCTACACTGCCCACCCTCCCCGAAACTTGGATCGTGTTCCCAGGACGGAAGGATTGGTAGGTCAGTAAGCCCAAGAATACGAATCATCTTGCTAGTTGACCAAGGCAAGGGCCATGAAATTGGCTGTATCCTCCCATCCCATCCGGCTCACGTCACTGGCAGTGGGAAATCGCTCGGTGCCTGGGCCAGGTGGTCATAATTCTTGTGGATATGCTGCAGAAAGACCTGGTGCTTCGCCCGGATCGGCCCACCTCGAAAGAACGAAAGCGATGGCCTCCACCCTAGTCAGTCGCGTTCGTCGCGTTCGCCCAGGGCGCAGGTGAACCAACGAAAACGAAAACGAGAAGGACACGACCACTCCACGCCAAAACCCTGACTGGTTCTTGGACCTCAGCTGTTGCTAGGCACCCAAATCAGCTAGTAATCGTATACCGTATACCGCTTTCAATGAAACCGAGCTCTGAGCCATTCGATCCAAGGCTTCCTGGAAAACATCAGATCTTTTCAACCTATCCGACTCAATGTACACCGCCGTGAGAAGCTCGGTCCAGTCTTTCACCTCGGCTGCCCAGGCTGCCCAGGCTTGTGTCTCCTCAAGCTCGGTCAAGCCAGGGCAAGCCCGGGCAAGTCGAGACGATGTTTACAATAATTCTTTTTCCACCCGTCTTTTCCCACCACCTGGGCGTGCGCTTGCGTCCAATCCTGCCCAAACCATCCATGGGACTGGCATATTTGCCTACATACATTGACCCCGTACTTCAACCACCTCAATCTGGGCAAATATGCCAGTCCCATGGATAGTCCGGGCTATAGTCCTCTGCTCTCCAAGGCCTGGTCTTCGCGACCCCGATTGCGCTGATGGAGGATGCGGAGGTTCTCTCGGGCCTTTGGCAACAAACGACCTCAGACAGAGTCGTAGAGAGAAGAAAAGGCTGACGGTGCCCATGGGGAAGACGATCCATGGGATGGCCAATATCACCAACATGATCCAACATGGATAACCCAAAACCATCCAAAACCCAACATGGATATTGCTAGTTTGACCTAACACAATATCCCAGAACCACCAACATTCACCACCAAAAACCAGATACCACCAGGCCATGTATCTCTGCAACATGGACCTTTGGGGCACAGCCGTAGCTGACGCCAGCCGAAGTGAGCTCCGGCATCGACCATGGCGGCGACCGGAGCAACACAGAGTCAGCGTGTCCTGCTGACTGTGGGAGCTCGATGTCTCGTTCGCCAATCAGTTTTTGGACTAAACCATGTCTGGGAGGTAACAGTTTCAGAGCATATGGCACACAGCGGGCAGCGTACACTTCCACTAAGGTGTGGGTCGGTTATCTCGACACAAAATGCGCAGGTCAAAGTTCTCTGGTCAAAAGTTCCATGTTTGCTGGTTTCCAAGGTGCCCACTAACCACTCACTCAGGGGCTATACTAACCAACCCATTGGAACTCCTGGGGTATTTGGTTTGATTTGGGGGCGTACGTTAGGGGTACATATGCTGTTTATCTTGATATACATGCATTCCTCACAACGACTGCAGCAGCAAGGAACCTTCTGATGAAATGGTAGAAGACACATCACCCAAAACTTTTGAAAGTGCAGGTTTAGGCTCAAGTCCATTCTGAACAAACATGAGATACATGAATTTCATGGCCCACCACTACACCACTGGAAAGCAAAAGGACAGCAACAGTGTCTGAATCCATGAGATAGATGTCTGCGCCCAAAACATCCAAAAATCCCCAGCATTCAGTATCAATGAAACTTCTTTTTCAACTTCTCCTCCTGCCCGGACTCGATCTGCCGCGGTCCCCACTTTGCTCGTCGCCCCGGTTGTAGATCACCGTTGGGACTTGAGGCCTCGCACCGGTGGACCGGGCACGGACCTTTGGCGACCCAAACACCATCATGATTGTAACCCCATACAATGCATATTATATAAAGCTAATATATGCTAATATTTGTATAATCATGATAAAACCAAATCAAATCATATTTAAAAGCAATGTATTTACATTGTGCTTACATGTATGTATTGGGTCTGACTGTTACAGGTAAGTTCGGACAAACCCTATGTATTTACCTGGGAAAGGTCCAACCTACCGTAGACGCTTCCAAGGCCTGTCCAATGGAGAACCGTAAGTACAGCTGGTGCAGGGGCGCCCCCATTGATGACCCGTTGTGCAGCCCACCGCACTAGACCCACCGGCCTGGGATACTGTTCAAAAAGGTTCGATTGAAGTGCCTGAACATGTGACCAAATCCAGCTGAAACGACATCTCGTCCTTCCCAAAATGCTTCGACCCGCTGCTTGCTTCACTCTGATGGTCCGCACAAGGCATCTAACCAGCGTAAGTCTTCATCGTAGCGTGCCACGACCAGCTGCGCATCCGTCCAGTTCAGCTCGGGCGCCTGAGCAACGGGAGCGGCCAGGAGCGGTCAATGGTTTGGAGCGAATGACCCGAATTTAGTTGTGCAAAGCTCTTGGAAGTTGGCCAAACATGGATTTGAGATGCTCTGAGTAAATGTCTGCAACCATCTGCAAGCTGCTCTCCCTTCATGTCCTCTCATGATATATGGAATCAATCTGGCATCGCTGTGCAAGGCAAATCGCTTGACCGAATGCACTCCTCAATTTACTCATGGCCCCGTCACAGAAACAAATCATCTCAACCCCCTTCGTGCATGTTCATTCTGTTTGGTGCGCCAAATCCCCCTGGTGTTTGGTTGTTCATTGAAACATCTGCCGAACCTCTTCTGGCATTGAAGTTGAAATGTTGTTTACCAAAGACCGCATGGGATCCCCATGAAACACTGAAAATGTCTTTATTGAAACGCCGCAAAAAAGAAAAAAACACAGCGTTTCATGTGGCACAGTGGTGCCACTGTAAGCCAACAAAGTGATATTCCTTGCATGGAAAATCTTGGGTTTGATAAGACAATGCATTGGTACAATCGTGTCGAACTTGGCATGGGTGAGCTTCTCACCTGGAATCCAAAACTGTTGCAGCGTGCAGTATTTGGGCATAGTTGCTATAGTTTGCAGGGCAAACATCTCATGGAATGAAAGTATTCTCCCCCAGAACCATTTCACAGTCACATCAAGGCCACATCCGGCCAGGGCAACCGTGCAGCTCCTTGCATCCCAGGCACTGGATTTGAGGTCACACCATCATCCCACGTTGCGTCCTTGCTAATGCTGCATGCAAAAGAAACAAGAAGTGGAAGGACACTGCTTCTGATGACCATGATCGAATCAATATATGCGCTAATGCTGCTAATTGCTATTGAGACATGACAATATGACAGGTGCTGCACCTGTTCTCTTATTCGTGCTGCATCGACGTCAAATGCACAAACAAAAACGCCACACAAAGGCCGTCCATGTGGAGGTCGATGCATTTGTTGTCACGCACCACGCAAAGGTCGAATCCATCTGAGTTCGCCTCTCAAATGAATCCGCCATCGGCACGTAAACATACATAGCAAAAAAAACTGACTCCCTCAGATTCGCAGGAACATCAAGGTTGACCTTTTTTCCCGAATGCGTAGCGAAGGGTTCCCGTTTATAGTTGGGGGTCTGGGGGTTGGAGCTGTGTTTGCATGGCTTGCGTCGTGTCGTCGTCTCTCGTCGTCTCTCGTCGTCTCTCGTCGTCTCTCGTCGTCTGTCGTCGTCTGTCGTCGTCTGTCGTCGTCTGTCGTCGTC